GGAGAAAGAGAAATTTTTTTTACAACCACGCTTAATCCACTTTATCTAAGTGCCAACTGCGGTAATCAGGCAGTTATCATGGCGATGTACACACGCGGTCGCGGCCATGTGTTCATCGCCGCGGCCGATACCGCTTCGGTGGCAGCGGATTCGCTGTAAGCGTGAACCAGGCCTTTTAAGGCGGCGGTCCCACGGCCGCCATCTTTATTCTTGGTGTGTTTTAGTTTCTTACGTCACTTAGAAGGCAGCTACAGCGCTGTCGTGTATCAGTCAGATTCTAGGATAAAATGAACAAATATTTAGCGACGCATTGTCCTTTTATCATATGACGAACACGCATACGCGCCACTGCGTCTTGCGTGGTTGATAGGCGGTAGGAGCTGAAAATGCAGCGTCATAATACAACACTCCTTTCTCCTAAGATTAGTTACTAAAAAAAACGATGTTTGCATTGTGACTGATGATATAACGTATAACTGGTCGTCGATCGAGTGGTGATCTTCGCGAGGATCTTGGTCGGCTTGGTCCGAACTTGGCCCTAAAGTTGTTTGTGGGCTTGTCTGCAGCAGCTGTGGCCATCTTGACGGAGGAGGAAGCTTGGCGTGGTAGTCCACACTTCTGACTCTGTCTGTTTCGGGCCTCGTCCAGGCGCTCCTTAACTGGCTCCGGTGTCTGTGATGACGCCCAACACTGACCAGGTGGACAGTGTACAACACCGGGCCTCTTACTGCCACCACTCTGACCGCCTTCCACCTTGGGCTTGGAGAGAAGCTGTTCGTGTAGACAGCGTCGCCGACTCGGTCCCTTTTTGTCTTCGGTCGGTGCAGCTCAGGCGCATGCTGACGGTCCGGATGAAGTCTGTCCAAAGCTTTCCTCAGCCTTCGCCCCATCATCAATTCTGCCGGTGATTTTCCTGTTACAGAATGTGGCGTTGTGTGCTGTTTAAACAGGAACCGCGAAATCTTGAACTATGTTGTGCCTTCCTGTTGCTTCTTCAATGCTTTTTTTACCTCTCTTACCATCCGCTCCCCCTACCATTACTGGCAAGATGGTAAGGTGCAGTGAAAACAGCACGCACACGGTTACACTTAAAAAAAAAAAAGTCTAACTGCGATTGAGAAGGCTGTGCCGTTATCCGAAACGATGACGTCTGGTACGCCATGTGCCGAAAACACCTTTCTTAAGCTTGTGATCACAGCGGTCGCCTTCATGGATGACATGACTTCGACCTCTGCCCAGTTACTTTTACGGGTCCACAACGATTAGGAATACTTTTCCTTTAACTGGAACAGCTAAATCAATATGTATTCTGCTCCCCGGTTTATTTGGCTTGATCCAATATAGACTGGAGCACTCGTGTCGCTTTGCTGGTTCCTGTGACATTACTGCCAGTACAGCACAAACTTTTCAATCTCGTGGTTCATCTTTGCCCACCATATAAGTCCTCTAGCTGAGACTCATTGCACAAATCTCCGGATGAGTTGCAAGCAGAAGTTGTAGTATTCTTTTTCTCTTGGCTTTAGGAATGACAACGCGATTCCTCCACAGTATGCAGTCTTAATGCAACGACAACTCGGACTGCCTCACCTCGTAAGGCGCAAACGTGCTGTCCAGCTGCGCCGACGGCCAGCCACTAGGGATCCAGTCCTTTACCTTGGACAAGACGTTGTCCCTCTTTTTCATCGCAGCGATGTCTGTCGCTTGCAGTGGTGCGCACTCAACCGCTTCCAGCAGGAGCACGTTCCCAGGTGGCTGTGGCTCGTCCTCGTCTCCTGGAGCCGGCAGATGACTGAATGCATCGGCGTTGGCACTGTCTTGGCCTCGCCTGTACTGAATGCAGCAGTCATAAGCAACCAACAAAATCCAACGAAGCATTCTGGGTGACAGAACTTCAGGCACTCGCTTGTCAGTGTTAACCAGACCCCGTAGCGGCTTGTGGTCAGTTATCACAGTGAACTCTCGCCCAGTGAGATACTGGTGGAGCCTTTTTACGCCAAAGACAACCACCAAGCCCTCTTTGTCAATCTGGGCGTAATTGCGTCCACTTGCGCCGAGAGTACGTGAAGCATACGCTATGGGTTGCTCCTTTCCGTCAACTGCAATATGGGCCAGTACTGCCCCCGCTTCTACAGAAGATGTGTCGCAGCACAGGATCAAAGGACGCTCTGGGTCATGGGGAACAAGTACAGCGTCGGAGCTAAGTAGCTTCTTCAGCATCTCAAGCGCACATTGGTGTTCTCCTGTCCACTTCCATTCCTGGCCGTGGTCCAGTAGTCGATCCAGAGGTTCCGTTGCTTTAGTCTTGCCCTTGACGAAACTGCTGTACAAATCCAATAACCCTAAGATGTCTTGCAGCTTTTTCTTGTTTCTAAGTGCAGGCGCTTGCTGGATGGCGTCCGTCTCGCTTCGGCTCGGATTAATTCCTGCATAATCAATTCTGCGACCCAAGAATTCAATGGTCGTATGGTTGAATTCGCACTTGTACTTTTGTACACTTAACTGTGCGTTTTGCAGATGCGACAGCACGGTCTCTAGTCATGCCGCGTGCTCTTCCGCATTGCATCCAAAATCAGGCCATCATCAAGATAAGATGTAACGCCAGGAATACCTGCCAACATGTCGATGACTCGTTGAACCACCCACGACGTCACCGAAATTCCAAACGGCAGCCGTCTGACCTTAAACAACCCCTTTATCGTGTTGACTGTAAGCACGTCGGCCGATTCCTTGTCTAGCGTAAGCTGTCGATAAGCTTGAGCGGGGTCGAACTTGGAAAACACCTTGCTTGAACCCATAGCTGCGAGCATTTCCGCGGTAGTGGGCAAAGAATGCCAAATGTTTTTAACAGCCTAGTTTACGGTGCTGCGGTAGTCGCCACACAGGCGTAATGTCCCGTCTTTTTTCCTTACCACAACCAGCGGTGTTGCCCAGTCGAGTACTCTACATGATCCCATACTCCTTGATACACCAAGAAACACCCACAAGTCAGTGGCCAGTGTGGACGCGCGAAACTTATTGCGAAATTTTCTATTCAATACAATAACCCCAATTGTCTAATAAAACTTGCAGCCCTATGCGGAGAGCAAGTCGTCCGCTTCTTACGCAGGAGTTCCTGTGACGTCATAATGACGCCGAGCTCTTATTGGCCGAATAAAAAGTTCTCAATGCTAGATGCGTTGAGGTCTACCCACCTATTTCTTCTATCAGCAAATAAGAGATCGGCATCATTCTGCCGTCACCGTAACTCCTGTGCAAGAAGCAGACGACCTGCTCTCCGTATATTTATCTAGTGATCAAACTGTCATATGCAGAATAGCGCTGTATGAGAAACGGCTGGATTTGACGGTGGGACGGTTACGCGTTTTGTTTATGGTTGTCAGGTCACGATTTCAGAGTCTGCTCTATTTCTTGTCGTCAGAGGCCACCTGCTGCTAGGTCGAATTGCGGAGGCATTGATGTAAGTGAAAGTTGAACCACTAGTTATGGCCCGTATTACGGAATTGATTTACAACAGGTATTCATTTTCGTCTTCCGTTGACATCTTGAATTAAGCTCTCCGTTCGTACTTTAGGTCGTGGAAAAAAACCCAATTGTCAGCATGAACATTACTACCAACAGTGGAACTCCTAGTTCTGTGGCCGCGAATTAAAGCTCTTTCTAAATGGCTCATATGTGCATGCCATGACGAAAATCGTGAGATGCCGGATCCTGTTTATTTTGCCACGACCTTATCGCCGAATGCCCAAATATTTAAGACTCTCTAATCTACCCAATTGTATTAGCCGCTGTCGCTTCATCCTTTTCTAGTTGAACGCCGCAAGGGTGATACAAACTCACCACCGTTCCTTCCCCAATACAACTCACTTTTGTTATGACCTTCTCTCTCCCTCCCCCTTTTATAGCGTTTCGCCATGCGTGTCCGCACCTGAATCGTGAGCAGATTTTCGTCGCGCCGAGAATATTTCAAGTATACACGCCTGAAATAATTTGTTCAGCTTGTGGCTGTAACCGAGCTAAACTTTAGGTACACAGACAAATTCAAAGCAAAATAGATACAATGCAGGGGTTATGGCCCTCTAAAACAGTTCTGTATTTTTTTTTTAAATGCAGGGCACAATTTTTTTTGGAAACATCTATTATATAATTATTTTATAACCTCCACATTCTTAGTCAATATACTATCAAAACGCATCGTACAATTTTTTCTTTTTTGATTTCCCTATATAAAGGTAGCTTGGCGGCATGTTGTTGAGTGCACGGCGGACCACTAAGTTTACAAGGTCAAAAAGCGGGCCGAATACAGAAAGCCTTGAGGAATAAAAACTAATAATGAAAATACCGAACTTTCAACTGTGGCGTGTGCTATGAGTCGGCAGCCATTATATTCGTCGGGAAGATTACGATGTTTGTATTTCAGTGAGAAGAAATCTAAAATTTTGTCAAAGTGGCCCATAGAACCCAACTCCCCCAAAAAGTTACATCGGGTTCAGGAATAACAAGTAATCAATCATGAGGTTCAGGCAGGTATTAAATAAAAGTGTAATCATGCGCTCCATATATATTCTGGGGCACTTAAGGATTTCTGCAGTAGTTTGGCTGTAATTATCATTTTACTCTATTTCGATGAGAATAGCAAGGGAAGCATGTCCCAGAATGCTGGGGACGGTCGCGTTTCCAAGGGTCATGCTAACGTATTCCTTAAGAACCCGCCAACGGCTCTTCCTCTACTTTTTAACTTTGAACAACAAATATATCCAACAGGAACATAATAGCTTATAAATGATGCCATTCTAACTTCGTTCCATTGAAGAAAACGCAAAAACAATTAACAAATTTTATCAAGAAAACTTTAATGCAACACGTAATAAATGCATATCATGTGCAAAAGAAAAATGCAGATATGGGAATCACTTGCTATGTCAATCCCAGCTAGCGTTTATTTGAGCAATTCTTTAGTCGTCTAATCCTTTTTTTTATTTTAAACTTCGCCTCAGCACTGGTTAGGAGGAGAACAGTACGCATTTTCCGTGAATACACATCTGAAAGAAGCGAGATATTAACTGGTCACATTTATATTTTTCACTTCAAACGTCGCTTTCCTTTCTTGGATCACACGTGACCCGTCCTAATGACTCTGGGTCAAGAGGCACAGCCTCCTCTGTACGGAGAAAGCCTGGCACGTCGCGAGAAGAGACGGCCGCCGTAAATGGGAAAGGAGGTGCGGGTAATCGGGAGCGAAGGGAGGTTGCCTGCTAGCGCCACAGAAGAGCGAGCGGCCAAACGCAGAAACTTTTTTTTTTTCCTGTTTTCTTTTTGGTATCGTGGAAAGGAGAAACTCAACGTCGACCCTTTCCCGTTTCTCCCCGCGCCCGCATCTCCGCACCGGTCCTTGAACGCGAAACAGACGGTCGTGGTCGTCGGTTTCGTTTAGTCAAAACTGCATGGTTCTTCCGCGGCACGATACGGTGGTCCAACGACGACGCACTCCGCTGGCACGCCGACAACTCCGCCGACGCTATACCGGTATGGTGCAGTGTTGCCAGCGCCCTTTCGAATCGCCGCAGCCGTTTCTCCCGGAGTACGAAAACGACAGTGACGAAAACATGAAAACAAACGTGGTTCGCTGAGCGGCCGCTCATGACCCAAGCGCTCGCACACTATCTCTGCCATTTCTGCTCTGCGCTACCATATTGGTCACCACTTCACGCGCTTCTCCTTTCCTCTTTTCTGCGGCCGCGCGCCCAATGGCTCCGCCGTCGATGTGCCAGGCTCTCTTCGTATAGAGGTGGCTATGCAAGAGGTTAACTTGTGACTGGTGAGTCTGGCGACGGCGTTGCGCGGTTCGGATCTATACCATCTAGAAGACAAAAGCGTTCACCTGTATCTCCTAAACGTCACCACTAGTGTATCAACGCAGCGGCCCCTCACATGCAACAGCATCGCCGCCAGCGCGTCTTGCAGTGTCTCACAACGAGCGCGACGCTAGCACGCGGCGACGCCAAGACGAAAGCATCGGCTGTATGCGCCGTTTTTACGTGGAGCTTCAGCGTAGCCATCATAGTAGTATGGCGGACAGCGCAATGGCGGCAGGCTGCCATAAAATAGCCATGGATCTAGTACGCTGTACCGTGGGTGATATTTCGTGCTTGATTGAAGTTGTTCGACGAAGCAGATTCTTGAAACCCGGCCTGAACGGTAGCCTCACCTTTGAGGACCCGGCGAAAGTTCTACGAAAGCGCAGCACCGGGGGAAAGCAGCGAAGCTCAAATCGAAAGCAGACTCCGTATCGGTGTCTGCTTTGCATGTTTCTTTCGATGCGAGTTTCGGTGCGTGCTGTGCTGCGATTTCCCCGGTGCTGCGATTTCGTGAAACTTTCACCGGGTCCTCAAAGATCGGGGTACCGTTCACGCCGGGTTTCAAGAACCTGTTTCGTCAAACAATTTCAAACAAGCACGAAATATTACCCGCACCATTCTGATGGCAGCCTGCCACCACAACTGCCACAACGTTGTCTGCCATGGATGGATGATAGTGGCTACAGCAGCTGCACCTCGGCTAGAGGCAATATAACTCTACCAAAAAGATGGCCGCCAGTGGCCGCATTCGCGGAGCGGGCAAACACGATCAAGCAATTGTCATGGAGAAAACCCTTAGCAAAAAAAGGCCGTATTTCAAACGAAGTTGAAATATATTTAGTACGAATATTCATTTTGTATTTATTCTGTAATATTTTGGCCGCATTCGAAATACGCGCGTAAGGTATTCAAAATGCAATATATATATGAATCAAAAAATATTTCAGATATACCAAAAATATTATACCTTCACACTCAAGATGCCATTTGTGCATTAAAAACCAGTTACGCAATTTTTTTTTACTTTCGGTTTTGTCAGAAAATGGTGTCCCTGTGGTATTTGAAGGCACTACTAAATACATCTCACAAAGCTACATTAGAAACGAACACAAACACAAACACCATGACGCACTGAACAGCTCATTCACAGTCCCGTTGACTGCTCTTGAGCCTTATATAGCCTACATACTGAAGGTAATCATTTTTTCGGTGACCACCTCGGCGCTTATTAAGGTTCCAAGTATTCGATCTTCTCCTCGGGAGTCTGTCAAAGAGGAAACAGTGTTTTGAAGTTCGTGGACGATATCTCTTACTAAAAGGCATTGGTACAACTAATAACAATTTGGCGCAGTCCCTAAACAATATCCACATAAACGGCTCATAAAATACATGTTATTGCTTCTCTGCGTAGCACCACTCAGGACGAAGCGAATCAAGGCAGTTTCTTCACTTTACAATACTGTAAACGACTTTATTTTCGTGAGGACCTAATTCTCGCAAAGTTCGCGAATCGCCTACAATTCCGAAAAATAGGTCCCGTGAACAATTCCGGCAAAATGTAACAACATTAAAATCTATATTGCGATCCCAGCGCGTCGCGAAAATTAGAATTTGCGAATTCTTCCAAAACTCCAACTTTGACCTAAATCGCGAAATATTGAGCCCGCGAAAAATAAATATTTGACAGTAGTTGTTTTGCCTTTTCTTTTTAGTAGTTGACTATTTAATATGGTAGTTAATGTCACTATAATAAAGTCACTATTCACATCACGTACAATGGAGAGTATACACGTTCAGTGAACTAACATTGTGCTAACAAAACCACGCCAAACGTATCTGTTCACAGCACCTGCTGAAGCTTTCCAGCATCAGCAAATGTTGTGGTTGTAGTTCCCGAACCCCGTTTGTGATTGGTGTGCAAGGAACTGATCAGGTGTGTTCTTGATAGAAAAAATGAAACAATAACATAAACTGGGCTAATTTATCAGTGCGATGCTGCGCAATTCAGTTGACAAACTAATCAAATGTTGTATTTAGGCGCATCAGTGTACTCCATATCTGCTTGAAGTGAACTTCTAGAAGGGGAGCTTTTCAATATTTTGGTAGTTTAAGTCAAACTACCAAAGTATTGCAGTCAAAAGGTACTTAGAGTATCCCTTACAGAAATGTCATATATGACCCAGATATATTTGATATAGGGCCGTATATGGGCATATAAGTAGACATATACGGTTATATATTGCCATACAAGGGCTGAAATCAGGGCAGATATGGTAAGGTGACACCATATATGACGACATATATTGCCAGATAAAGTCATATATGGTGCCAGTGGCTGCCATATATGACAGTATAGGCTCCTTGCACATGACGTCATTTCCGATACCCTCCAGAGAAGAGGGGGAAAAGGAGCTCCCCTCTTATCAAGACCCTCCTTTGTGCCTTCCGGATTTGCACAGGCGTCGCTATTCTCCTCCCAGAAGATTATAGAAGATTAACCCGTCACTCAAAATTCTTACAAAAGCAGCTTCCCTCTCCTCCTTTTACTTGGTGTGCAAATGTGTGCGATGTGACGTCAATGCAAGGAGCCTATAGGATGCCTGATACACCTGTATATGGCACTATATGGCGCCAGTCAACATGTAGATGCAGGTAGCACTCCGCTTCTTCCGGTATCGGAACTACGCCGGCCCGCCCATGGTAACAGGATGGCAGCGCCTGGCCATGGGCAACGGGGAGCTACCGGCCCCGGCCGGCTTTGGGTTTTCGTCTTGCACATTGGCCAGTCCAGCCGTAGAAGTTACAGTGAATGGCCGGCATCGGGTTTTTGCTGTCTTTGCTGGCTAGTCTTTCCATGGAGGTTCCAGTAACTGGCCGGCATCGGTATTTTGCTGTCTTTAAGAGCCGGTATTTACGGAAGTTCAGTAACTGGCCGGCATTGTTATTTTGCTGTCTTTGATGGGCAGTATTTACATGGAAGTTCAGTGACTGGCCGGGATCGGCGCTTTGCTGTTCGCAGGCTGGCGATCCCCGGGAACTTCCGTTTACGGACCGGCATCGTTCTATTTTTTTAATTTTTTTTGCCTTTTTCACTATGCAGTCACGTCATTGAGATTCCGACGAACTGCGGCGATTCATATGTAGCGAGTGGAAATGTTTCCGTTGATCAATCCTTCGTAAATGACTGCCGACGCTGGCGTATTTGATCCCACCATGGCAAGGCTGACGTGTTCTATCGCGAAAACGCGAAAAAAAAAAAAAAAAAAAAAAAAAAAGCCGTGTGGAAGAACAGTGCTTGAAGAACGGTGGCGGCGACAACATAAACGTAGAAAATATTTAAAATAATAAAAAGTAATACACACATTTGAGAAAAATTTTTAAAGTAATAAAAACGAATTCAAAAAGGTGAGAGAAAAATATTTAAAATAAAATAATAATAAGTAATACTAAAAGATGAGAAAAAATATTTAAAATAAAAAATTATACAAAGAGGTTAGAAAAAATATTTAAAATAATACAAAATACAAAATAACACAAAAAGGTGAAAAAAAAATTAAAAAATAAAAACGGATACAAACAGGTGAGATAAATATTTCAAATAATAAGAACGAATATAAAAAGGTGAGAAAAAACATTTAAAATGAAAAAAAGTGAAAGAAAACAATTAGCGCTTACGATTCGAACCAACGACCACAAGCTCAGAAAAGCAGAGCCTCAACCATGGAGAATAGAAGGGTAGGAGAGGGCATGACGTCAGCCGCCTAGCCTCCGCAAGCCATGCTCCCTTGACGCCTCGCCTCTTTCGCATTTTCCTCCTTACTTTCACCACACCACGTGACCGTAGCTAGCCTTCTTTTAGCTATGGTGTGCTAGAATACACCACAACCTAGCCTTCGATCTGATAAAACCTACCGGACGGAGCGCGCGCAAGCCTGCAAGGATCCTCCTACAATCAACCATCCATCTCACACGTGACATGTCACGCGCACCAATTGCCAGACAGATCTGCGGTCACCCTGGGCACAAAATCGTTTAAACTTTTTATGACTAGGCTTCACCAATATTGCAACGTGCCCCCTCCTAGTACTTCTAACCTCTTTGGCGTCAACACACTGGGCTACCGCCGCTCGCATGACCTCCGCTACCTTTCGGGAAGGTTGCATGTCTGCTGAATTTCTTTTTTC